ATTTGGCTGGTTTGGCAGACAAACGATTATATTTGAGAGTTTCCACAATAAATTTTTGCAAGAGGACTCTGCTTTTGTCAACATACGGCGGGGCGCCGCACTGGATGCGGACTGGAATTGCACCAAAACCTCACTATTTTCCACAAAACATTATCGCATGCAGAATGACTTCCCCCCTCACCTCGCCGAGGCCCTCGAGTTTTGCTGTGCAATCCATTCCAGCAATTGAGGAGCATACCTTCATGGTTGATTGAATGCGCCCAAAAAGTTTCTTGTACGACGGCCTTGTAAGTATAGGAAACGTCCAGTTCGAATGTAACAACAGGCTCAAACCCCACGGGCTTGACGTGACGACACTCGAGAGAGAGCTTTCTAGCCTCATGAGTTTGGGCCATCACCGCCAGGCCCACATATAAGCGGGCGCAGAGGAAGGTGCGCCAGACTTGGTAAAGTGGAGAATGAATTAGCAGCGTTAATCCTATCTAACGCTACAGCTAAGGCACGCGAGCCAGTCATTTGAGGGGGCTTGCAAACTGCAGTAATCTTGAAGTGGGCAAGTTCGCCAAGGAGTGTTGGCGAACGTCGATGTCGAAATATCCGGATGTGTCCGGATAGTGTAACCCGGTTACACCACACCTCTGGCGTGGCTCGATCCGCCCAAAACGCACGATTCGCGAAGGCGTGCTGGAGTAGTGCATGACGATCTGCTCGTTGACCACTCGAAATCCGGATAATAACCGAACTCCTTCTCCGATTGGTCCGTCTAAGAGCAGGGGCATACTGATTCGGGCCAGCGGCGCTGTGTCATGAGCAGTCGGGGCGAATTCTGGCGGGGCGTGGTCAGGCGTGTCAACTTCCTCAATGACGACGAAAGGCATAAAATCATCAAGCTCGCGGAAACCAAGGTAAATGGCGACAAGTGGTCAATCCCCGACGCATTTGTTAGGATACATAAGCATGTCTATAAGGAGGTATGCACTTTCTCTCGGCCATGCTAGGCACAACGTGTGACGTTTTGCACCGCTAGATTGCCACACCAAAGAACAAGTATACAGACTACGTCGCTCGAGACGTCCCTCGAACGTTTGTCCTCTTCGAGCTGCCGTACGATGCACAGACTATGCAACCAGCGCTCCACCGAGTGTTGAACGCAATCTCGGAAGCCGAAGACGGGTACTGCCAAGGCATGAACTTCATTGCCGCGGTATTTCTCGTGCAAGGTTTTTCGGAAGAGCACGCCTACATTGTGTTTCTCTACCTGCTGAAGCACAAACATCTTAGCCAGGTACCGACCGTGCCTTGACCACACGACAATATCACAAGTTCTCATGGGCATGTCCAGTTCTTCAAGGACTCGTCCATCTTCCTCAACGAATACCTCGCACAGTTTCAATACCAATTGAGCCTCTACCTCCCAGAACTCGCAAACCGACTGGAGGCGTGCGGCTTCAGCGTGTACCTCTACGGCGTCGAATGGTTTACCACAATCGTACAGCGAACGTGGCATGATTCAATATTTCCAATGCAGTGATGTCATCGTAGTTTTCGTGCTCGTCCAAATTGGACCTAACCCGAGCTGTCTTGGATATGATGCTAATCGGCGTCGAAGATGTCATGTTTCGTGTGGGGCTGGCCGTGCTGAAGGTCCGGAACCTATATCCATCGCGAAACGCATCTTACACCAGCTCACATGGTAGAACGTGGAGGCGCAGTTGATGGGCCTCCAGTTTGAGGACCTACTGCATCATTTCAAGGCGATCGTGAAGCAAGCAGATACGTACCAAGTGGTGGTGGATGCCCTGATAATTCCACCTCATGTCGATGCTCCGGGCGGCGTCTTGGCGCAAACGGCACGGCGGTCGTCGAAGCCGTTCGCCGCATGGCCGTATCTTCGCCATCGAACCCTTGGTCCCATGCTTGCACAAGCATGTGAGCGCGGAACATTGAACGAGGCAGTGTGGGAGAGGTGGAAAGCAGAAAACGGTGACGACGTCGAGGCGCACCAAGTCATTGCCGACGAGGTACGCAACAGCCCATGTGATCAAATCGCACGAACGCCACTGTGACAGATTGTCCACTATGCTGTGTGGCATGGCCACGTCAACGTCGCAGCTTTTGCCATTCATGTAAGATAGGGTCTCTTGCTGTGAAGCGAATCTCAACACGGTGTAGAATTGCATGGCCGACCCGAACGCATGCGACGACTTTGACCTGCGACCGCTGCATTTTGCCATTGTACGGAATCAACCAGACCTGGCTCGGCTGTTGCTTGCCGAAGGCGCTGACGTTCATGCATGCGGCGGCAACTCGATTGCGCTTCCTCGATCATTGCAGATGAAGACACCGTTGGAACTCGCTACAACTTGGATCTACTCGGACATTGAAGCCGTCGCCATGGTTTTGTATGGAAAAATATGCCTCCATTGCAACGACAAGTTTCCTATGGTCCCCCTTTTCACCACGAAGCAATGCCTCGACTGCGAATATTTCTACTGTCGTCAACACTGCTTTGAACATCACCGGTGCTCGAAATCATCGGTAAGCGTCCGAATAGATTGCATGACTGAGCCTACTGTTGTATTAGGAGAAAGGCGTCATGCGGCTCGACAGCGTCCAGCTCGTGTACGATGAGCACGAAGTTGTAGAGGAAAGAGTGTTCGTTCGACCGTGTAGCAGCAAATGGTACTGCACCCACCGCGACTGCCACGGAGTCTTCAACTTGTTTCGCAAGCGGTACAAGTGTGGAATATGCAATTACTCTGTGTGCTCCCTCCACGTCAAGTCTCGTACGGTGCAAGATCAACCATGCTGGGTGTGCGCATTGTGCAGTGAAGTAGACACTGGGAGGTCATAACGCGATGCACGATTGGACTCCACGTTTCTTGGAGCTGGATGTACTGCTTCTTGTACAGCAAGACCGTCTCGACAAATTCCACGTTTACAAATGCTCACTATCCGCAGAACGCGCGCACCTGCCGCTGCCACGACGATGGCGAAGCAGCCACCGTTAACACAACGGAGCAAGCAGGCTAGAGACACTCCGACGAAGTACCGAGGGTGGCGGACATTTAGGTATTTTTCAAACGAACTCGTTGGTCGCTGTCAGCGACTTCAAAACTACGACGACGACGAGTACAATTTCTGTTCCCGCTACTTTTTCAACAACAAGGGTCTGTCGGGTAAACTCTGGAACCTCCGAAACCATCACGGCTAAGATCTGGGCAATAAAATTTGTGGCAATTCATGCAGTCCGACCGATTGAATTGTCCGCAGTCGTAGGAGGACGTGTTCGATCCGCTCATCGGTTCGTTCGAATGTCTTCTATTCGTTCTGGTGGGCACCGGCCCTGCCAAGGCTAGAACTCCTGGATGCACGTGAGGAAGTTTTGTTACATTCATTCGAATCACAAGGAAAAAAGCCAACTGCACTAATGTGGAAAATAGGTGTGTGTGAGAGCGCGCGGGCCGTTGCCTAGTATCTCCTCGTTGTGCTGCTCGACCATGACATGACCTTCGTCTTCATGGACAACCTATGCGCGCTGCTTCTGCTGCTGCTTGCATCAACGTGCTGACACGCCACCGAGAACCCGAACACATCGCAGGTGGACAACGGTTTTTTACGCCAACTTGGCAAGGCCAAGGCCGGAGGCTATTTTATACAAAATTGAAGTTAATATTACAACGTGAAGAGAATTCCCAATGTGACAGTGAACAACTCCATTGACATCCTGATATTCCGAAAGACTTCAATTTAGTATGGAAATATCCCCATGCTTGCCGTCGTCGTCGTGTCATGGCGCTAGTGGGTTTTATTTCTCCATGATGACTTAACAATCATGTCACACTCGCCAAACCGTCCCGAAGGCCACCGAACTGTGAACAGGGCCAGTTGTTTATCTATGGCTTTGCGGGCGGTTAGTTGCATTTCCAAAATCGCCATGGCAAGTTCGAGCCCGCCGAAGACCAAGGGGTGGTCGTTCTCGAGCATGCTAAGCCGGTCGTTCAGCTCCTTGGCCGGCTGTGAAGGATCGCCCAAGGCGGACGACCCCACCCAAGCCAAGTCGTTCTTCGACTTGGCTGCCACTGACATGCAAGGCAACGTCGTGCCGATGGCGACGTACCGCGGCCGCGTCTGTCTAGTCGTCAACGTTGCGTCCCAGTGAGGCTTGACGCAACTCAACTACACTCAACTCGCCGAACTCGACACCAAATACCGCGACAAGGGGCTTCAAATCCTCGCCTTTCCGTGCAATCAGTTTGGAGGCCAGGAACCTGGCACGAACGAAGAAATCATGGACTTCGTCAAGACGTTTGGAATCTCGTTCCCGTTTTTTGCCAAGTGCGACGTCAACGGAAGCAACACGATTCCCGTGTTCCAATATTTGAAGCACAACCTGGGGGGCTTACTCGGCAACTTCATCAAGTGGAATTTTACGAAATTTCTCGTGGATCGCAACGGCCTGCCCTTTCAGCGGTACAACCCCCAGACGGCGCCATTCGACATTGAAGCCGACATTGTCGAACTCCTGGGAAAGCAATAAATGTCCAACCTTTGGCCACACGGAACATCCACGGAGAACCGCATGAATGACAGCCTCGACTCAAATCCCGAGAGGGACAGACTTGGCTTGAAAACGCAAGTGTGTGCGACCCGTCTGCCCAAATTGAGTGGGGTAGCGTGGCGCATGCTGCACCGCGACCTGGAGATGTGCTCAAATGCCATTGCCCGGCAATATAGTTATTTTTACCCAGTGGCTCTCGTATGCATCCCGATTTGTAGTCTGTCGTGTGGCCACCCATTACTCAACTGATGCAATACAGCGTGTTCCTTGGGCCAGGACAAGAAAGCCCCACGAATAGCCCCCGAAGCATGAGACCGTGTTCATCAAACCCGTACGACATCCAATACTTGCACAGCCGTCGAGATGTGGGGATTGTCCTGCTTCCGACGGTCAGCCGAGCTTTCCCCTTGCGACCGTTGCACCACCATTTTCACTTTCGCTTTGCCGGCCATCCGAGAGATCGCGCGAATTTGCTTCTCGTAGACTTAAGTTGATGGGAGATCCGATTGTAAACCGGAGTATAATATACGCCAGAAAAGTCGGGTCATCCAATCAGAGCTGGGAATGCTACTCAAAATCGGAGAGATAAATGATCAATCTAGCCAATCAACGTGCAGTAGTTGGACAATTTCAACAAAAAGGCAAAATTTTTCCTCAAATGAAATGATTGAATTGACTACAATGTGCTCTGGTTTGAAATCTGCGCGCGAAGCACAAGGTCGTTCGCTCTGCCCGCGCACATACGAAGGTCTTGAAAATGGAGAATAACCTGGCGCAACAACTGAACGTCGTCAAGGGTCAAGACAAAACGGCGATGCTGCAAAGGTCCTTGAATAAGAAGAACATTGAGGGGTACCTGCAGATGCGAGGACGGCATAGAGGGTACGTCGCCGCCTCATCATGTTCCTGCCACATTGACATCGACCAATGCATAGGTTGAAGGAAATAACCAACACATATTCAAGGGACACAAAGGCACGGGATGCTCTTAGTTTGCTGCGGACACTGATCCGAGCCCCGAGCGCACCTCGCACTGTCATTCCCATGCAGAACCCTTCCGACGACATCGACCTCAAGGCCATCAGTGCTCGAGTGCTTGAACGCAACAAAAAAGTCCAAATTCCATCGCTCCCGGAATCCTCCGTTCCATCGAATTCATTTCAGAGTCGACACCAATCGGTAAGCTTTTGCCATCATCGCGGCGTTATCGACACTTTGAACAATCCAGAACACCCATGAAGACTTGACCGAAGAATTCGACAGCATATTGGGCTCCGTGGACATTGATGCGGTGGTGGCGACAGCGAAGTCGAAGAAACGCAGCCCAGTTGTCGACTTATCACGGAATACCATCACGCCGTCACCACCCTCGGCAACCCATAGCTCCAATTCCAGGAGTAACCAATTCGTCGAATTATCTAGCAACGCAGCACCAGTTCAACACACTCGTCCAATTGCCCCTTCGACATCTACATCATCTGTCGCACCACTGAATCATCACACCATGGCGAACTCGTCGAGGTTGGGAACATCGTCCTCTCATCTTTCCCTTGAGGAGAGCATTGCACAAATTCGTTCCAAGTTGCGCAAGGTTCGCGAAGCTTGCGACGATGCAGCGTTGGAAGGTTTTGTTCCAGATGAACTCGATGAGCAAAAGGTGTTGCTTGAAGCAGAGCTGTCCACTAAAATCGCCCAACTTCGTGCTAAGAACAGCCAAGAACAGGCCATGCCCAGTTCAAGTCAGATCCAAGATACAATCAATGAAATTCGTCGAAAACTCCGACAAGTTCGGGAAGAAGTGGACGATGCATCCCTCTTTGGAGACGTCCCCGACGCCCTCGAAGCAGAAAAAGCGCGGCTTGAGCAATCCCTTGCCCACCAAATTCAACTGTTCAAGCAAGCTCGGAATATCGCGCCGCTTCCACTAGCCATGGCACCGTCCTTGAACAATACAGCGCCCAAGAGTTTCGTTCAAACGCCACATGACGACGCACCAGTGAGCGCCTCGACCTCATTTGCAACAAGATGCCATGACACTTCACGGGTGGGACCACAAACGTCCACGGGCCCGACTAACGACTTCCAAGTTCGATGCACCTGTGGACAAGTGACTAGCACACAAAATGTGTCGTACGGGAAGAATGCAGGACGTGCGTTCAATCGATGCGAGTCATGTGGATTCCATTCGTGGGTTGACGGAAGCAGCAGTTCGTCGGTAAATTCCAGCGCCGCATCGACTTGGAATGCTGGTCACTCGACCGACTGCCCACCACCGACGGGTCCACAGCTGGCGGAAAAGATGAAACGCGCCAAGTTCTTACTCCGAGACGTGTTTGGTCATTCGTCGTATCGACCAGGACAAGAACGAATTGTTCAAGTACGTCAGACGAGCGTGTTGCCGCCAAATGTCCTCCAACTGTTGTTTAATCATGCGTATAATAGGAAGCGTTGTCAGGAAAAGATGTGTTTGTCTTGATGCCTACGGGAGGAGGCAAGAGTCTATGCTACCAACTTCCCGCGTGCGTAGATGACGGGGTGTCCATTGTGATATCACCACTGGTGTCGCTGATCGAAGACCAGACCCAGCAATTGCAGGCGCTCGACGTAAATGTTGCGCTCTTGAATGGCGACCAAGACTACGAAACTGTCCAACGCCCGATCATCTCGCAGCTATTTTCCAACAACATCACAATCAAGATGTTGTACGTCACGCCGGAGAAGATTGCATCCAGTGGCCAACTTGGCAAGTTGTTCGAGTCGCTGGCGTCGAGAAAACTCCTCGCTCGGTTCGTCGTCGATGAAGCCCACTGCATCAGTCAGTGGGGGCATGATTTTCGGAAAGACTATATGAACTTGGGCACGCTGCGCATTCGATATCCTAACGTATGTATTCAGCATGTTTTACAGTCCAGAGCTCCCTTGTGCGTATTATTGTATAGGTTCCAATCATGGCTCTCACCGCCACTGCAAACTCGCAAACCGAAACGGACATTGTGAAGAATTTGCGTCTCTCCAACCCATTTGTGACCCGGACGAGCTTCAATCGGTACGTAGGTCGAATTCGATTAGAGCTCAACTGTGGCAACTAGACCGAATTTATCCTACGACGTTCGACGAAAAGGACCAAAGTTTATGGACGAATTGGTGTCGTTTGTGAAAGATCGCATGGATCAATCGGGCATTATCTACTGGTACATGCGTAATTGCACCATCACACTTTTTCATGCATTTTCCATCGCAGCTTATCCAAGAAGGATTGCGAAAACACAGCAGACAAAATCATTCGGACGTTGGGCCTTGAGGGAACCTCAAAGGCCAAGAAGATCTCGTTCTATCACGCTGGCCTTGATCCCGTTGATCGATCGAAACGTCATCACGAGTGGAGCAAAGGCAAAATCAAGCTCATTGTTGCCACAGTTGCGTTTGGTATGGGGATCAACAAGCCCGACGTGCGCTATGTAATTCATCACACGATTCCGCAGTCAGTCACGCACTATTACCAAGTACGATATCGCGGTTTGCCACCCCAATATGCCATTCTCAGCAAACAAAAACGCTTCGTAGGAGTCGGGACGTGCCGGTCGTGACGGGGAACACGCCACGTGTTTGCTCTACTACTCGTTTAAAGATTTGTCGCGTCGACGGAATTTGATTGCTCAAGATCGCGACAACCTCCAACACCAGACCGTGCACTTTCAAAACCTGCGGCGCATGGTCGAGTTTTGCGAAAACCAAGTCGAGTGCCGACGAACTAGTCTCCTCGAGTACTTTGGCGAGCATTTTTCCAACAAAAACTGCCATCAAACGTGCGACAACTGCAAGGCGAGGTCAAATGGTGCTGAGTTTGAGAAGAAGGACGTTACTGCCGACTGCTTGAAGATCTACAACATCGGTAAAACGAGCTCGAGTGTTGGAACTACGTGCGCCTGAATGTTTTATTAGTCGAACGAAGTTCGAGCGAGAACGAGTCGCTGACTGTTGTGCAAGCGTCCGCCGTGTTTATGGGGACAATTAGCAAAGAACAGCAGAAGCGACGGGCGTTTCTGGAAGGCTTTAGTGAATTTGGGGCGGGCAAAGGGCGGTATGATCGTAGCGAAGTCGAGCGAATCATTTACAACATGATCTTGCGCCAGTACTTGGACGAGATTGTACGAATTTCTTCCATAATTCCTTGATTGATGGCGAGTTAATTGTAGGAAAAGAAAAACGTGATGGGCTTTTCATCGAACGTGCTCGTCGCTGGTTCACAAGGACGAAAGCTGGTTCAGGGTGAGACGGTTGCTTTGGTGTGCAAGACCAAGAGGCAGCAACTGATTTCCGCACCGCCTGTGTCTACTGCTCCTGCTCGAAAGGAAAAGGAGAACGGCAAGTCGAAGAAAGCCAAAGCTCCGGCTAAGCAATCCACCCACCACAACGTGGTGCATCTCACGGAAGAGGACAACGACGTGATTGACATGTTTCCGGTCATGCCGCACGCTCGGGCGAAACCGATGGGGGCGAGGGTGTCCATGCACCACGTGGAAGCGTTGCACCAGTTGCTTATGGACTGGCGCGCCAGCGTCTGCGACAATTTCGATGTGATGCCTTACCACATTCTCCCGACGTCGGGAATTGTCGCGATTTCCGAAGCTGTTCCGATCACGTGTGCCGAGTTGATGGCCATCGAAGGTGTCGGCCGCACTCGTGTGAAGAAGTGGGGCGAAGCGATCATCGAAATTGTCAAGTCATATTTAACCAAGGTATTCCTCAGTTGATGTGGATGTGCTGACGACTTACACACCGTTAGAACGGCATTGAACCGACCCCGTTGCCGGCTGGGTACTTGGACCAAACTAACGAAGAGATTTCTCCCCCCAAAGAAGTCAAATCGTCCAAAGCAAAGTCGCCCTATTTCAATCAGTCGGTACGTGGACATTTCCAAAATTCCACAACCCATCTTGTCATGTGCAGAAACCTCCACCGCGCGACGAGTTCGATGACGGCATGGACTGGGCCATCGTCGGTGACATCGAGACCTCCGTACCTGCCAAAAGGACTGCGGCGCATGCTACAATTGACTTGAGTCGCGAAACACCCAAGCGTAAGAAAGTGTAAGGCTCGCCTCCTCCGTCAAAACGCTGCTGAGCCTTAAGTGAATTCCATGCTTCCGTCCCTCATTTCAAACATCGAGCAAATCAAGAGACAGTGGGTGGTTCATCTTTCTTGTTTCAAGACTTCTCACAACTCGGTTCGTTCGCCGTGTATGTGTGTCGGTGGCGCTGTCGACGGCGCAGGAGGGGGCGTCGCGTCCGTCGTTTGTGGAGCCACGTCCGACAAGTGCATGTCGTGCATGACCTTGGACATGTTGGCGACTTGGTGCTTGTCCTTCTTTTGTTTCTGCTGCTCGATTCGAAATTGCAGATCGGGCAAGTACTCGTCGTAGTACTCGGCCGTCGCGGCTTCCACAACCTTGTAAAACTCATCGATCCCAGCACCGGTCGCGGCCGACACCCCCACGTGGCGCAGGTTGTGGTAAAACTCTTCGAGCACGAGACTCAATGATCTCGACAGCGTGTTCATGTAAGTGTCTTCTTGGGACGAGTCCAGTGCAGCTTGAAAAGCCTCAAAGTCGGTCATCCATTCAACCGCAAAGTCGTGCGTCACCACGTCCGTCTTGTTGAACACGACAATGAATGGAAGTTTCACCTTGTACAGAATGCTACACGCGTACAGCATGTTGGACATGAATGTGTTCGGGTTGACCGTGCGCGGCGTGTCGACGACGTACACCACAACAGTGGGGAACGTAGTGGCAAGTGACTCTGTGATGATGGCCCCAGACGCAGACCATGTAAATGCTTCGATTTGTCCTGGTGTGTCCACGATAACATGACTACGAAAGAAGCAAACATGAGTTGAGGGGCATATGGACAGAACATCGGTCGTACTCCAAGTTTGGCGCGCGCTTTTGAATCAGTTCCACAACTTGGTCGAATCGCGTAGCAAACAAGTTAAGCGACGTCATAATTGCGCCGTTGGGACCCAGTCCATACTCCGACATCACTTGCTTATAGTCCACCGTGTCGCGAATGTCAATGTGCGCGCCGTACGGAATCGTCTTGACGGCCGGATCCAAATTCACAACGTATTGTCGGCTTTCCTTTTGCTTTTCCGCAGCATGGGCTGCAAGACGATGCATGAAAGTTGTCTTCCCGCTTCCAGCCATGCCAATGACCAGCAGCGTAGTTGGTAATGGTCCGCTCGACGCGCCAGTCGTCGACGGAGATGCCGCGCATGCGTCGGCGGTAGGCGGCGTTGGTGTGCTCATCGTAGAAATCTGAAATCCCTGCGTGATGACTGGTCGAAACCAGGTTGAGTGTCCGTGTAATATCCGGATGATTCCTTCCAGAAGGCAAAGCCAACATGGCACTCCCCCCTGTGCTGCGACTTCGGCAACTTGGTCGGGCTGCGATTCCACGACGTGCCAAGCATGGACTGACGCATGTGAACCCAGAAAATCAGCCGAATATGGTGGACGTTACCGAGAAGGCCATCACAGAAAGGTCAGCTGTGGCTCGCAGTATTGTTCGGTTCCCTGCAGGAGTCCTTGACTCCCTCCGCCACGACGCAGAGCTCATGAGCAAGAAGGGTCCTGTGCTCACGACGGCTATTCTGGCAGGAGTCATGGGTGCAAAGAAGACGAGCGATCTCATTCCGTTTTGCCACCCTTTGGCGCTGAACGACTGCAAAGTGACGTTGCACGTTCAGGACGACGACAGCACAGTCCACATCCAATGCGCCGTCAAATGTACGGGTCGCACGGGCGTTGAAATGGAAGCGCTGACAGGTGCATCGATCGCGGCGCTGTGCGTCTACGACATGTGCAAGGCGCTGTCTCACGATTTGATCATCGAAGAAACGCGGTTGCTGTCCAAAACGGGTGGGAAAGCCCCCTTTCTCCACCGGGACACTTAGGATTCTGTGCCATTAAATAATGAGATTGCAAATCATGGACACTACAGCGGCCACAGCGAGAGCACGCCAGCAACGACCACGAGCACGTCTCCTGCGATGAGGATGGTGCTTAGAGCTTGAGCCCTCGTTGGTTCGTCTGCGACCAGGAGCTGCAAATAACTCGCACACAAGTGGCTTCCATCGAAGTGGTGAATGGGCAGAGCATTAAAGAGCCCCAGCGTTCCCGACACATTGCCGACAAACTGCCAAAATCGCTCGATCCACGTGGGCAATGACAGCCACCAGAACGTACCCGTCGTTGCCGGGGCAAGCTGGGAGTAGGGTGAAAGGTGCAATTCAGCATGGAGGTCTGGGGGGTATCCGTGGACGACGAGGGTGCGATTGCTCCGGAGACCAATACGGATCAACGATGTTCCGTCCTGCATCTTTGGCAGCACGCATACATGAGAGCTCTTGTCAACGCCGTCTTGATGGCACGGAAGGTCATGTGTGCATCGGGCGATGGAGACTTGACCGACGCGATTTCCGTCCAGGCACACCATTTGCGCCGGCGGTGGCGTTCCAGTGGATTCGTCGCCGTCGCCATGGGCAAAGCATTGCAATGCGCTGTCCGTGTTGCCGTTGTCTGCGTGGCAACAGGACGAGTCGTCCCGGTTGCCATGTTGTAAGAGTTCAAGGAATGGAATGCAGTAGCCGACTTGTTTCCACGTCGCGTTGGGCTGGTCGACAACTTGTGCGAGGACAGCAAGCTCCTTCTCCCATGCGCTCAGTGTCAGAGTTGGAGCGTGATCGATGGACACGATGACGTTGCCTACGATTCCATTGAGGTAATGCTGCTTGGCCATGCGTACCAATATCGAGAAGGCCTTCAAAGTTGGAGAATTCGGGCATAGATGTGACAGTAAGACCTCGGTGCGTTGCAAACCAAGGAGACAGAAGCGTCGGAAGAATCCAAAGCTGCAGCATGCACACGAGGGCCATCACCTGCAGTCCACGTGCATTTTACGGATGAAATTATCGATGGACGAAGGATACCGCGTTGTGCCAAATGCCAGCGCTTTGAATCTTAATCTGGTCCGTCACGCCGATGTTGTAGTAGCTGTCAAAACGGACGTATGCGCCAGGAAACACAACCGCTAAGAACACACCAACCGACACCATGCGAATCTCGCAGAGTGCCGCTGCCAGCGCATGGCCAAACTCGTGCTAGCATCAACGGGATGAAAACCCCATCACGAACGCATATGGTTACGTACGAAAGACGCGGCAAGGAAAATGGCTATCCACAAATACCACATCGCATGGAGGGGCATGTTCACACCAGGAAGCATCACAGATGTGGTTGGGAGAGGTGCCTCAACGTCGACTTGCACAATATGTCGCGCGACAAGCACCATGGCGTTCCACACGACGTACGCCGAGCTACCAACCATAAGAATAGCGGCAACAACGCTTCCAGCAGTGAACCATGCCTTGAGGGCGATAGGATGTCGACGACCGAGTTGGAATACCCACTCATTCAGCCACGTGAATTCCTTCGACACAAATGCAGGCAGAACGTGCAAGGTGTTCCTGTCAATGTTGGCATTGCCCTGGGATGCTGTGAAAAGCACCGAGTACGTGACAGCCCACCCGACGGCCACCACGAGAAGCCACGTTGCCAACATTTGGGATTTGCATGAAGTCGTGTCAGCCATACCTGTATAAAATAATAATTTGAAACGCATTCTATGCAAGAGGTTATCGCGAAACTGTCGTGCATTCCTTCAGGCGCAACGTGGAAACGGGGCGACATCGCGGCGCTTTGGCTGCGTGATGTCGTTCTCACATCTATCTCAGGCTCGTGATGCGAACGTACCATTCAAGGACGTTGATGTCCACGACCCTCGCACGCTCGGACCGGGATCGTACGGGTAGGTTGAAGGCTTCCAACACATACTGGTGACGCATGAGTGGACAGCAGCAAACTCCAAATGTGGGAGGGGAAATCAAAAGCGACGACACGACCGAAGACGAGTTTTGGGTCAAGCGTGCACGAAGAGCACCCTCGGTTTTCACACATTGAGCGTGATAGCTCCGTTTTGCAACACAATGCACTGATGGCGGGTACGGTACAATCACATATGCCAGTGATGCCCCTCATCTACGACATGTAGAGCATCAGTTTCTGCTCAAGCGGAACGAAGTGACCATCCGATCGCCCAAGAAGCGAGAAACTAAGGCGGGCTCATTAACTTTCCACCCCGAGAAAATGGAGGCGTACACAATGAAGCTTCCCATGCCATTGGGCGACACGTTGAGACAGAAGAGGCATGATGGGTCCTCTATCTCGCAGCCCAAACATGGTATTTAACCCGTCAGGTTCTTCAGTTCCCTCTCGATGTTGGCCCGTGCAGCCGCTGTCCACTCATCTTGGAATCGCCGAGTGAAGTAGAGGTTGTCGCGATGAAGGAACGACTTCAGGACCGCGGCACGACCTTGTTGAAACTCAGCTTCGCTATACGCAATGTATTCCATCCGAATTTGCTTGGTGTACTCGTCGTACACATCGTTTGTGCTGCTTAAAATCGCTAAGTCCAGGTCAAGAAAAGATCCGATCACATGCCGAGCGGCATCTGAGTTGCACGACGCGGGCATTTCATGTCGAATTGTCGCTTCGATCATGGCTTCCACGAGACCAATTTCTTCAGAGCCCATCGAAGGGCAGGCGTCGCTGACGAACATTCGAAACGAAGAGATGCTGTCAAGCTCGTTTGTCTTAGACAACGGGTCGTACACAATGTCATGAAACACGATAGCCAGGACAAACACGCGCTGCCATGACGCCAATGCCAAGGCGTCGCGATGTGTGTGATACAAATCGTACATGGTGGCAAGGTGGAGCAGTGTGTGATAAGCTCGCTGTGGTTCGCTGTACGCATGTTGCGCCTTCGTCCACCAGGTCTTGGCATTTTCACCAAGGAGTCGGTGCCACGCCTCTCTCAATGGAGCAATTGTTTGCAGCTCCAGACCTGTCGCAGGCATGATGGGCCAGTGCTGTCGTCGGGCGTGCGACTGCGCCAAGCGCTCCATTCCTCGTTCGTCGTTTTTTTGCGCATTTCAGACGTCTCGTTTGAAACCAAGTATCTGGATTAATGCATTCGTCGTAGTACTACTAACAACAAAAATACAATACGAAAATTTCAGGTCTGATTGGCTAAATGTACTTAAATATACATACATTAAGGAACGCCCACTGGAACTATCTGTCATGCGTTTCGAACGTCGAACGTTGAATGGGAGGGTTTAAAAATTGGACCAATCAAAACGAGAAATTGCCAAATTGGCGATTTGATTGGATAAAAAAATCGTACGCTTCTACAAATCTTTCGATATTTGAGCGAGCACACCCGCGTCCGTTCAGAAAGATCTTGCAAGCGCTGCCAGCGCTACGATCGATCGGCGTGGACTTCGGCGCGTTACAGCATCGCTCGGCGTCCGTCCAACCATCAGCAAGCACTTCCTAGACTCTTGTCGTGCCAAAGATGGTGCGGCATGCATTCACGCTCACCCGAGGTACGATGCTATCGTGTCCTCGGTCGTGGTGGTAACGACACTTGCAATACACAGCACTGCTCGCGTGTGCTTCTCTGCTACAACATGTACATATTACTGTGGGCCAAGACTTTGGTACGTGTGATTGCTGCGATGAATAAGACCAAGACTGAAGGGTGTGTTCTCCAGGTGGCACTGCTATGTATGAACCCCGGAGCGACCCTTTGTTGTCTCAAGTGGCAGGGGATGTCGAAGAGGGAATCGTGGAGAAGCACCGACGATTGACTGTTCAGCAAGCACCACCAAGTGACCCGTTTCTTCTTGGTATGTGCTATGATCTCCATTGTTCCTCACCTGTCTCATTTCACACTCTAGACAATCGGTTCCTCGGCGATGTCACGGTGGAAAGCCATCCGACATTTGGATCTGCATCCATGTCGATTGCGTCAAGCACGCTGTTTCACGCAGGCACCACCGTTGCCAGCGGAGGAGCCGCCGTTTCCTCTGTGGTTATTCCGACGGCTGAGGATGCCAGGTAGATTCACACCGGAGGTCCACAGTTCTGACGCTCATCCACCTGTAGTGGCGTTGTGCGTGCTGGCGATGTTGTCTTGATCAACCAAGTCGAACTGCGCACCGTGATTGCAGTGACATCGTCGGCCATCACGGTGGACCATGGCATTCAACGCCCGCTCTCTGGTGCCGAGACGATTCTCGTCAAACGAGCCATTTTTTCGACATACGAAGAAACCACACCTCTTGTCCAGGTCAATGCGTTGGGCACCACGCTGCAATCGACGGATGCCGCCACAGACACCATTGGCACCCATACGGCTGTACGCATCCAGCACTTCTCCAGTGCCAACGCGGCCGCGACCGTGCGTGTCCCTGGCACGGTCAGCG